TAGCGATACAGGCCTCTACCGTATCCCAGGGTTCGGCTGTCAACAGAGGTTCGCCAACACTTCGCGAGTATGACGTCTGCCTTGCAGTTATTGTGCACTGATCTATCATTAATCGGCCGTACGCCGAAATGCCGCTATTTCCAATATTTGGGAATTGCCAGCATTGGTACCGCGCGGGAGAAACGCCACCTCGATGTGTAAACAGTTCTAAGCGCGAGACGCGCACCATGTGCGACGCGCCATGCTGAGTCAACGCACGAACAACATACAATACAAAACGTCGACTCAGTGCCTTGGTTAACGCCTGAGGACTCAGAGTGGCTAAGTTACATGTGATCTGCAGGTAACTGTGCTGCTGGAGCTGTGCCTCTGGACCACTTGAACGGCACGGAAGGCGGTGTCTAGGGTCCATGGAAACACGCAATGCGTAAAGCATGCTTATATGCGCGTCAATTGCGCCACACATGTGACAGTACTTCAGGCATACCGTATCATGTTTGGTACGGACTTCGTGTTCACCTTAGTGCGAAATTGAATGAACGGATAATTTAATCGCTTCGCTCATTCCGCCGGCCCATATTGTCGCACAGTTGTGGGCTAGCCGAGTTTTGGGGCCTCTTGGGGGCCGTTTTGGGGCCTCTTGGGGCCTCTTTTGGGCCTCTTGGGCGCCTCTTGGGGCGTCTTGGGGGCCTCTTGGGGGCCTCTTGGGGCCTTTTTGGGGCCTCCTGGGCGCCTTCTGGGGCGGAGGGCTAGATTTTTCAGTTCTCGGTTCCCCTCTTGAGCCCCTCTTGGGCCCGTCTTGGGGCCTCTTGGTCCGTCTTGGGCGGCACTTGGGCCGTCTTGGGGGCCCTCCTGGGCCGTTCCGGGGCCGTCTTGGGAGCCTCGTGGGCCGTCTTGGAGCGGTCTTGGGGGCCTCTTGGGCCGTCTTGGAGCGTCCGGAAGCCGAAAAAGCCAGAACGCAAAAAACAGCGAAAAAAACAATGAAAATCAACGATTTTGGCCTCTTGGGGCCCTCTTCGGAGGCCTCTTGGAAGGCCCTTGGGGCGTCTTGGAGGCCTCTTGGGCTGTCTTGGGGCCCTGTTGGGCGTCTTCGGGCGATCTTTGGCCGTCTCGGGGCCCTCTTGGACCGTCTTGGAGGCTTCTTGGGGGCCTCTTGGCCCGTCCTGGGGCCCTGTAACAGGGCTCCGGCATCTCTGGCCCGACCTTGCGGGGACCTTGCCGGGGACCTTGCCGGGGACCTTGCCGGGGACCGGCCGGGACCTGGTCGGGGTACTTTTCGTCTGGGGACCCCCAGGGGCCGCCCCGCGCGCGCGAAGTAGAAACATTGTAGAGCAGTTACCGGAGATCTTAGCACGCCTCTGGCCCGTTGGGCCGGCGAATTCTAAGCACTCGTTTGCCGTATCAATTCATAACGTAATTCTGGGAAAATGGGATGCGAAGCATCAGTTTGCACATGCGATCTAGCATTGTGTACAGCATTTCCGAATGCAGTCTACGACGTACGATGCGAGACGGAACGTGAAACAATGCACCAAGGATTCGAATGCGCAGTAGAATGTACAAAGCCGTTTGTGTTGTGAAAGCCATTCTTCGCAAGCGAAGCATGTACGATTGCTTGATGCCGGGGGCGCCCCACACCGTTGGGTAGATGAAGCGGAGGAGGCCAGGTGGAGTAGAAGGAGGGAGGGGGGATACGGCGCCAGGGATGGATATGAAGGAAGACGCCGCGTGTACACGAAGCAGCTAAGTTGGTTACATGGTGTCGACCCCCCACCGCTGACTTGACTGATTAGCCTAGGGTTGGCCGAAACGATGCGAAGCTGGAAAGTGACGGGAAGGATGAGGATGATTCATGCGATGGTCGTTCCGAACCATGGCATGGGCCAAGACCATTGTCGTCGGATCTCTTTCCCCAAAGGGGCACGCACGTGCATCATTGATCTCTCCCCAGAGTGCGGCAAAGGACATACGGTCTTGATAGGTTGTATTCAGGGCTTCTAGAGTCGAGGGAGGAACACCATCCCCACCTCCGTAATTGGCGTTTGCTAAACAGTCGTAACGTTTCTCAGCAGCCCTCCTTGTTCGATTTGTTTCATGGGTGCGCTTGCTAAACGGCTTCGCTTGTCGGGTAGAGAAGGTGCGTTATCTGGCAACGAAGTGTGAGCCCAAAGGGCACAGTGGAGGGGCCAATGCTTTGAGTGGGTTGAAACGTGGCCTCCACCCCCAACGCAATGTTGCCGTGTCCTGTGCCGCGCAAGAGAAGCCAGCTGCAAGCGCAACAGTTCGTTCTTTTGCTGCCGATTCGGGAGTACGCCTTATCTCGTCGAGGGCGGCGCCTCTCGAAAACCTGGCTACCATCCGTGCCCGCACTGCCGAGCGTGAGTCGGGAGTGCGGGTGGTGTTGGGAACGGGCGGGGAGCGGAGTTCGCATCCGTGGACCAAGTGGCAGTTGTGAGACCCGTGGGCCCTCCGAGTGCCGCGGGCCCGCTGCGGTCGGCACTAGGAGCGGGGATCGTGCCGCTGCCTCGTGCAGCGTGGGCGGGATCCGTTGCCACGGGGGGGTGATGGGGGAGGAGCTCGGCCAGCACCCTAAGGCCGCCCCCCCAGGGTCCTGTGCACCCGCGCTTGGCGGGGGAACGAGGAGCCTCGCCCCGCTCCTCGGTCGGAGCAGAGGAGACCCTTCTTGTCTTCTCTAGAGATAGAGAGAGAGAGAGAGAGAGAGAGAGCGAGAGCCCACAGTGAACTGGTCAGTCGTACCGTGTCCGTTGCGAGCTCCTCCGCTGTTTTGTTGGGCGTGTCGTCGGCCCTCCGAGAGGACGAGAACGATGCGCGGCTGGTCCCGATACCTCGCCAAGACGAAGGTTCATGATCGGACGAATGTTGATGGGGTGAGCTGATCGGCCACGGGGTGGCCTCCTCGCTCTCGAGGAGGCGATCCTGCGGCCTCGCATCTCTTTTCCGAAATGGTTTTGGTTTTCGGGTTACTGGCGTGGCCGAGGCCTGGCGCCTCTGAGCTGGTTCGGCCATGAGCGCCCCCAACAATTATCCTGGCGAAGGACCGAACCATGCGCAGTTGTGAATACCGCAGTTCTGAACATTATCTTCGCCCGCAATCCCAATGTGACCACGAACCGTGCGAGGGGCGTGCCGAAATGCGTGGCGGGGCACGCATCGCGAGCGAAAACGATCGTTCTGTGTGCGAGAAACTGAGCGCGAGTGAGTCTGATTGTGAATGAGGCTGCGTGCGAATCAGTCTACGCGCGTAAACGTCGACGCCCATGTCGGCACGCTCCTCTCTCGGCCTCTCATGCTTCCTTCCCGTTGTTTTTTTGTTGTTGTTCTCTCTCTCTCTCTCTTTCTTCCTCTTTGCCCGTGCACGCCCATGTCCGAGGCTGCGGGCGCGGCGCCGCACGTAGCCCCCGCGACGCACGCCGGTCGCTCCGAAGGGGTCCCGGCGACGCGCACGGGTCGTCCGCTGCGCGGAGCAAAGAGAGAGCTAGTTAGTTGGCTGGGTGATAGCGGGCAAGGCTGTGGCCGCTGTGCAGAGAGACGACGGGGGCGAACGAGGCTGCGGGCAGAGCGCAGCGCGGAAATCCCGCGACGCGCGCTGGTCGCCCCGAGAGGGTCCCACCGACGCGCGCGGGTTGCCCGCCCGCGGCGCGAAGCCAAACAGTCACACCGTCGAGAGACGGCGAGGCTCGGGCGGGTCGCTTTTCGAGTCAAGCCTCGTGGATAAACTCGGTGAAGCCCAGCTTCCTGGCGAGGGTCTTCGCCTCCCTCCCGCACCGCTTCGCGCGCGTAGTTAATTGCTCCAGGTGCTTCCGCATTCCCTCCGGCGGCCTTGTCAGGAAGAACTCGATGCGCGGCGCCCGCATGAGCAGAAGGTCCTCGTGGCGCGTGGCGCGCGGGAGCAACGCGTAAAGCTCCAGCCGCCAGTCGTCGTCCCCATTTTTGCCGTTCCCCGCCTCGTGGCGGCCGCAGTCCAGGATCACGCCTGGGCGACACCGGCCGAGGGGGCAGCGCGCCGGACACCTGACGGCCCAGGGCGAGAGTCCACGAAACCGAGAGAAGGTCTCCAAAACGTGCTCCACTGGGACCTTAGATGGAGCTCCATATGGGGCCACAACACGTGCGAGGGGTGTGCCAAAATGGGGCGGCGCTGTCATGCGGGCTGCGCCGCTGGGGCCCCGGATGGGGCTCCCCATGGGGCCACGAAGCGTGTGAGGGGCGTGCCAAAATGGGGCGGCGCTGCCATGGGGCTTCGCCAGTGGGACCTTCGGTGGAGCTCTCCATGGGGCCACGAAGCGTGCGAGGGGTGTGCCAAAATGGTGCGGCGCCGCCATGCGGGCTGCGCCACTGGGACCCTGGATGGAGCTCTCTATGGGGCCCCGAAGCGTGTGAGGGGTGTACCAAAATGGTGCGGCGCCGCCATGCGGGTTGTGCCAAGGGGGCCCTAGGTGGAGCTTCCCATAGGACCACGACGCGTGCGATGGGTGTGCCAAAATGGAGCGGCGCCGCCATGCGGGCTGCGCCAGTGGGACTCTAGATGGAGCTCCTTATGGGGCCCCGAAAATGTAAGGGGTGTACCAAAATGGGGCGGCGCTGCCATGCGGGCTGCGCCATTGGGACCTTAGATGGAGCTCCCTATGGTGCCACGAAACGTGTGAGGGGTGTGCCAAAATGGGGCGGCGACGCCATGCGGGCGGCGCCAGTGGGACCTTAGATGGGACCCATTAGCGTGTGAGGGGTGTGCCGGGACAGAGACATGCGGAGAGCAAAAGCAAGGAAGGAAAGGGAGGAGGAGGAAGAGGAGGCGGAGGAGAAGGAGGCGGAGGAGGAGGAGGAGGAAGGAGGGAGGAAGGAGGAAGGAGGATAATGCGGGTCACCGTCCCTTCAAAACGAAGACCCAACACCACAGGATGGCTGGGGGAAAACATTGGGTTGTCTTTGTACCTCTCTCTTCCGCGGGGTGTGAGCACCGAGACTGGGCCGACGCCAAGGATAAAGATCAATCGCATGCGCCTGTGGCTGTTTCTGGAGGAGCCCTTCGTGGACTGGAAGTCCTCCGCGCTGTCCAGCGTGGTGGGGGGAGGGCTGGAGATCGGAGGGCGGAGGGGGAGAGCCGGAGGAATAATGAACGGTAAGGCTAAGCAGTGGCGAATCGTCTTGGCTCGCCTATAGGCTCGCCTGAGAATGTTCTTGTTACGCACGACGCGTTCTGAGGAACATTTCTGGCAGAACTTGTATTGTTTTGACACACCGGGCTTATGTTAAAGAGCATCGTTTTTGTTTTTTACCGCATCCTGCGATTATCCGAAGATTTCGCGGTAGGCCTTTAGGAATGCAGGGACGGTCGACCCCTGCTCAGATTTGGGAGGAGGTCGGTGGGCGCGAGGAGGCGCGTGCCTCATTCCCCCTCCTGTCGGCCTTCGCCTGTCCCACTCCTCCTCCCTCCTTACTTCGTCCTCCTCCTTCCCTGGCTAATCTGGTGCGTTTTCTTCATGTGGTTCATCCTCATGTTCCCCCTCGGTTTGGGAAACTACGCCTCCTCGTGTTTCGTGTCCTCCTGCGCCTCGCCGTCGTCTGCGTTTGCTTATTTGTTGTTGATTTGTCCCCCGCGGCACACCACGTCCCCCCCACACTTGCGCATCCCACTCCTTGTCCTAGTCTTTGTCCTTCCCCCCCCTGCTCTCCTCCCTCCCTTGCCCCGTGTTCGTACCCCCTTCCTTTTTCAATCCCCGCCGCAGATGTTGTTTACCCAACTCCTCCCTCCTTTCCCTAGGTGTTCCAATCTCCCCCCCCACCTCCCTCCGTGACCGTTTCGGTTTAAGATGCAAGAGTCTCAGGCGAGTCCAGTGGATACCGCTGTTCCGCGGCAGGTCGCACCAAGTTCAGGGGATCGCGGTCCCGTGGGCAGCCCGACGGTAGAGGCCCCTCCCCGCCGTCGTCGTCGTCGTCGTCGTCGTCTTCGTCGTCGTCGTCCTCGTCGTCGTCGTGGTCGCGGTCGTGGTCGTCGTCGTTGTCGTCGTCGTCATCGTCGCCATTGGCGCGGCGCAACGCTCGGCCTACAGCTCGGCTCGAGACGAAGGCGGTCTCAGTCGTGCCTGGCGGTCCGTGCCCGTGGCGCACCCACTGTGTGTGCGTGTGTGTGTGCGTGTGTGTGTGTGTGTGTGTGTGCGTGTGTGTGTGTGTGTGTGCGTGTGTCTGCGTGTGTGTGTGTGTGTGCGTATGTGTGTGTGTGTGTGTGCGTGTGCGTGTGTGTGAATGTGTGTGTGTGTGCGCGCGTGTGTGTGTGTGCGTGTGTGTGTGTGTGTGCGTGTGCGTGTGTGTGCGTGTGTGTGTGTGTGCGCGTGCGTGTGTGTGTGTGTGTGTGCGTGTGGGTGTGTGTGTGTGTGTGCGTGTGTGCGTGTGTGCGTGTGTGCGTGTGTGCGTGTGCGTGTGCGTGTGCGTGTGTGTGCGTGTGCGTGTGCGTGTGCGTGTGCGTGTGCGTGTGCGTGTGCGTGTGTGTGTGTGTGTGTGTGTGCGTGTGCGTGTGCGTGTGTGTGTGCGTGTGCGTGTGCGTGTGTGTGTGTGTGTGCGTGTGTGTGTGTGTGCGTGTGTGTGTGTGTGCGTGTGTGTGTGTGTGTGTGTTCGTGTGCGTGTGCGTGTTCGTGTGTGTGTGTGCGTGTGTGTGTGTGTGTGTGTGCGGCCACTGGAGTGATGATGGTCTCCTTGCACGCCGCGGCTTCTCCAGCCTTCTTTGGGACTCTCGTGGGAGGACACTTGCCTTAGTAGACAAGGGAGGAGGGGGTGCTCCTGCTTTCCAGGGTGCGTGTGCAGAAACAGCACCACCAGCCCGGCGACCCCTCGGCAGTCGCCAGTGCTCACGGGGTTGACAGTCAGTTCAAGTCCGAATTGGCAGCAACATTGTCCTTTCAGTTCCAGGCCGAGTCCGTTCCAGCCCCCCCGACGGAAGTGCCCGTGCCTAAGGCGGGGGTCCTTCGGGCCGAGGCGACGAACGGGCCAGGCTCCCAGTTCTCTTCAGAAACACTTGGTGGAGCAGGCGCGTGTTCAGCAGTACCTGGCGCAGGCGTCTGCGAAGGTGGACCAGTGTTCGGCTAAGCGGTGGAGGCTCAACGCCAATGTGAAACAACAAGTTTGCTAGTGAATTGGCGGCCAGGGTGCTGCGCCAGCCAGGACCTGTCCCAGCCAGTTCAATCGTCCGCATACGCTCGTTGTCACGCGCGGGAAACCGTCGACATCACGGGGGGCGAGTTCAGCGAAGCCGACCGCAAACCGTTCAAGGAGGCGGTGGGCGCGCATGAAGTGGCTGGCGCCCATATGCTGCTCGATGCCTTCTCCTCGATCAAGCAGGGGGCGGTGGCCCAGCAGAGGTACAAGGCTCGCGCGGTGATGCTTGTCAAGAGGCGCAAGACGGACGACGGTATTCGACATAGCGGTGACGATGGCGATGCCAACGGGTCGGGCGCCCCGCCTCAGCCTCGAGCCCGCGGCCCCGCGGGCGGGCGTTCCCGTCAGGGGCAGGCCAAGGCGGGGGCCGCCATCTTGTCCGATGGTTGCAGCTGAAAATAAATGCCTGCCTGGAGGGTGCCGAGGCCCGTCTGGCCCAGACAGGGGGCCATGTAGGAGGTTGCGGCAACGGCCAGGGCTTAGGTAGGTGAAGGGCTCCGTGTGTGACGCGATCGGCGGCTGGGTGTCCTTGTTCTTATGCGATGATGCCTTGTGGTGTGCTGTCCTGGCCCGCTCACGACGACTCCCGCTCCTCATCCCAGAAGAGCCCACGGTGGGTCGCGTATGGAACGAGGCCCAGCCGCGGGGCCGCCGCCCAGGGTCCTCGGGAGGTGCGTCGGCCCGAGAGCGCGGGCCGACTACGGGTTAGAATTCCCCGCGGGTATCACCAGTGGGGGCAGGCCCCGCTGCGCCCACTCAGGGGGTAGGCGTTCGGGGGGAGGGCAACGCTGCGTCCCGAGCGGTCGCGAAGTCTCAAGCAGCTTCTCGTTGATGCAGGCGCTTGCAGTTTCTAGGCGTTCGGGGTGATGCGCTTCTCCGCTTGCATCCTGGAGCCACGCAAGATCTGGTGGAAGCCGCGCCGGGGGGCACCAGGGCCCAGCGTCGCCGCTTGGAGCTGGATCACGTCCCGGCGAAGCCCCACTTGGGGTCGCATGGGGTCCAGGCCCGCCGCCCGGACCCACGAATCAGAAAGTGGGCTGCCCGAGCGGAACGCGCCCAATCGCGCGGTCGCATCGGTTGGGCAGGCGACGGCCGTTAACGGGAGCCCCTTTCCGCGCGCGAGCGAGGCCCCCCTGGCGCGCTGCCCCCCCTTCGTTTGCGCCAGGTGCGACGGCGCCCGCGCGGGGCCTGACGGGCGGCGAGCACTTGGTCGGCAGGGCCGCCGCGGTGCGCGGTGCAGCGGCCCCCGCCGCGCACGGCGCAGCAGATCGCGAAGGCGTTGGGCTTGCTTCCCGGGGGGCATAGGCTGCGCCGCAGGATCAGCTGAGAGGCGACCCGAGCGACGCGCGCTCGGCTGTTCCGCGGGGCCCCAGAGGGTTGGCAGTCTGAAAGTCGGGACAGGCATGCGCGTGCAATCGCTGGGCCGCCCACGACATCGCGCCGGCGAACGACGCCGACGCCGGCCCCCAATCGAGCGCGAGCGAGGCCCCCGCGCCCAGCGACGCCCGGCAAAAGCATGCAATTGCGCGGCAGGGCCGCTCCCAGTCATAGCGCCGCGGCTGCGCGAACCTCGAAGCGAGCTGATCGCGCTGGCGCTATGAGCCCATCCAGGCGGCGCCGGCCCCGCCTCTGCACATGGCGCATCATTGGCAGCGGGGGCCCGCAGGCTGAGGGGTGGCTCGTGGGGGCGGATGCTGACGCAGTCGGCTTCGCTGAGGTCCGCATGGGGCCAGCAGCTCCATGACTTGATCGAGGCAGTCGCGCGCTTGGAAGTTCGTCAGCGGCGCGGCAGGCGCCGCGGACGTTGGAGATTCGTCGGCAGGGCTTCAGGTTTTGGCCGACGGGCATCCGGGGCGCGGCGCTCTACTTGAAGACGCGCCCCCTGGATTTGAAGTCTCGCAGCTGCTCGCGCCAATGCATCGCCGCCCTGCAGCGCGGGCGCGCCGCCCCGGCCGCGGCGTTCGTTCGCCTCGATTAGGGGCAGCGCGCGGGGGGCAGCAGCCTCGAGGTGCTGAGTGAGTTCGGCGAGAAGGCCAGTCTGGTCGCGCGGCCGCTCCGGGTGATAGGGAGTTAGCAGGGGCGAGATGCCCGCCCTGATGAGTTCGGGTATTTGGCGCAGTTTGGCCCAGTTGGCGCCGGGGCCTCCCTGTTTGCCACCTGCGCTGGGGCCCGCGGGGCGGTCGGCTTCGTTGAGCGCGCCCTTCGTCGCCGCGTAGTGCGCGCCAGCAGTGCGCTGTCGCTTGCCCGATCAATCGGCGCCCTTGGAAACCCGCATCGCTCCGCGCTGCTCCATCGCGCCCCGGCCCCGCGCGACTCGCGGCTGGAACGGCGCGTCTCCCGAGACCTCAGAAACTGCAGGGAAAAAAGCGCGGGCTGCGATTGACGCAGATGAGGAGATGCTCTCGGGCAGGCCCGCGCGGCCCGCGATGGGCGCCCGCGGCGTCTCTGCTCCATTTGCGCGGGTTGCTCGGGTTGCCTTCGCTCATCGCTGCGACGCGGAGACCGCGTTGAACCTTGGCCGGGGCGTCAGCGCGCGGGCGATCGCCGTGGGGTCCACGCGGCGTGCGAGAATAGCACCCTTGGTCACGGGTGGGAGCGGCTCGCGGGGCGGCCCCAGCAGCCTCGGATCAAGTGGGGCCCAGATGGCGCCCGCGCGAGCCCTGGCCCCCCCATCGGCGGATGGCCGCGCGCGTTCCCAGCAGTCTCTGGATTCGCAACTCCAGTGCTTGATGATATGTTTCGCAGCCACCCCTCTAACTTGGCGCGCCGCCTCTTGGGGCCGCAGGGGCAAGAACCCCCTCCTGCGTCGGATCTCTCGGACTCTCTTCCACCTGGCCCCGCGGGGCCTGGGCGGTTTGGATTGGGGCTCGGGGCGCACGAGGGTCGCCGACTGTCCTGAGCAGCCGGCTCCG